TTCTGGATTTTTTCCCCCATTTTGTCTCTCATAGTTGAGGTATCCCTATGATGAAAATTACAGGCCTCTCTCATCTTTTTAAGTGGGAGAACTTGCACAATTGGTGGCTGACTAAATACTTTTTTACCCCACTGTAGTGGCTGAAGTTTACTTCTGATGTAGCTGGTGAAACCAGATCTAGATTGTAAAGAAAAAAGGTTTCTGCATCTCTGCTACCATTTAGCATCACCAGGATTTTTGCAACCCAGGCCTGGTAGCCCTAAGTATGGTGGCACAGGCAGAGATTAGTCAGTCTGTGGTAGTCAGCTGAGTGGTTTGCTGTGGCTTGGCAACAATGCTGAACATATGTCCTTTGGCGCATGGCTGAACCTAGCTAGAGATTAAAATCTTGGCAAAGCTCTGGTTCAAGTCTACCTTTGATAATGAAAGCTTACTGGCTGACTTTTGACTTTGGGTCAGTCATACCTTTTCAGTCCACTACCTCACTTAATTGTTACGGTGGGGAAAAATGATTCAGGGAAAAGAGATTCCTATGCATGCTGTCTTGAGCTCCTGGGAAAAAGCTGCAATACATATATTACAAATTAATTATACAAATAAAATGCAGAAAATACAGACAGTAATAATTTTATTAACAGTGCCCAATCACCATAACGACTGTTGAGTGACAGGCATTCTTGCATAGGTGAGCAGATTAACACATGCAACATATAATCCTATTTATGCATCTAAAAAATGTATGCCATACTAAAATTGTTTGCTATGTTCCTCTTCTATCTGGGCCAAAAAGAAAAAGCAGAAATAACGAACATTCACAATGCTCCATAATGTTTAAAAGTCTTGCTGATAAAACAGTGCCAATAGCTTGCTGTCATTTCATCCTTATGCAGCTGCAGTGGAAGGCTAGAGGGAAGGCCAGCATCCCAACACTTCTTTCTATAATGGAGCACTGACTTGGTAAAAATTAGAAGAGTACGCTTACCAGGATCAGTGCTATAGCTCAATTTCACATTAGATACTGGACATGTTACTTATTGTAATTTATTTCTGAAAAAGTTAAAGCCTCTAGCTATAGTAACAAAGAGCAAATGAAAAAATGTTTCTTACAATGCTGTCCTATCAAACTGTATCAGGTTAGGGAGGAAGCCTTGTTTTTTTTCTAGGCTAGCTCCAAAAAACCAAATAACCTTCAACAGGCCATCGGTTATTGAACAAAACATTATATACTTTGTATTATTTGAACACTAACTTATACACAAACTCATCTTCAAGTGAAGCTAGTTATTATCAAAGAATTAGTTTAAATCCCATTGGAGAATTGTTTTGCATCAGAAGGATTTAAATGCAGGGATAGGCAACCTAATACCCTTTCAAGCAGAGGTGACCAGTGTGCAGTCTGCATTTGGACCCCAAGCATCTTGAAGTCATGCCACTAAAATTCACCGGCAAACTTGCTAAATTCTGGTAGAGCCATTTCAGCCTATTTTCTGAACATCTGGGCAGTTTTAGAATAGAAATCTGGGTAAGTTATCTCTGGGAAGCCTCTAATTCCCACCCTTAAAATCCATCAAAAAGCAAGGTGAAAATTTGACCATGCTGCAGAGTTTCCAGATAGCCCCCTCCCTAAAGTCAGCAGGCTCCTCACCCACTTCAGTGGTTTGGGATTAGAACTATTTTTCTAACTAGAACTCCCACAAATCTTTACCTCTTGCCAATACTGCCTGGCAACTGCAAGTTATTGTCCTAAATCTTTAGAGGGCATAAATTTGCCTCCTCCTGACTTAAAAGAATGAGCAAGCAATCTTTAGTTAAAGGCCTAAACAACAAGCTGTGACTGAAGAAAATAATCTTCTAGATTTAAAAACCTAATAAAAGCAAATATTTTACAAACAGTTGTTGAACAAAATATTCATATAAAGTCTTGTTTTTCCCAGTTTTTTGTCAGATTTAGACCAATAGTCTTTCAATAGCTTGTTGGACAGACTGAATTTGAGGCTTCAGTTGTGAGCCTTCTTTGATAGTAATGGAACAGGCAATAACAGGCCGAGAAACACCACATGCCCGGCCTAAGGCTTGCTTGGAGCGCACAAACACATAGGGCACATTCTTGTCTTCACAAAGTAGCGGGAGATGAAGGATAATCTCAAGGGGTTCAGCATCTGCAGCCATCACAATGAATTCTGCAATACCTCTGTTTAAAGTTTTAGTGGCTGTGGAAAAGGAAATCAATACAATTACTATTAGGTATTCATTAAATTCAAGAGCTAGCTCCTCGGTTGGCACTGCAAGAGGATAAAGAGCATCTTGGCACATGCAGCATTATTACATCCTTCACTGCACTCTTGCTTCAAGATTTGTGTTCATCTCAATAATCAAATATACTATTCAACTACATTTTCACATTGTGGGATTTGTCTGGTGAATACTAGTGGTTATATCACTGAAGGAACTAATGTCTTGCAAATCAATGAATATCTGACTGCATCTCTTTCTGAAGACTTCAACATATGCATATAAATTCGCACCTAGATTCATGACAAGTTAAATGCCTCTCTGGAGCTGACCTTAGGAAGGATGGAATACAAATCATGCAGCATTCTAAGTATTTCCCATGTTGGGATTTCTTTAACGACAAAAGCAAACACTGATATTACTGTGAAAGCTCTTCCTGTCTTAAAGTTCAAGTTTATTTTATTTATTCATTTTATTTTTACATTTATTTTCAGTGCTTCTGTCTGATGCCAATTATTTCTGTTCAGCACATTTGAGGGAATGAGTTTGGAGTAACAGTAATAGGCTACCACTAAGAACAGGAAAATAAAATATTAGATACAAATGTTTTAGGATATATTTAGTTAAGTGTCAGGATTGACTCCTTGTAACTGTATGGACATACAATCATCATCTTGACCTGCCTCTAGTAATAACTTGTAGAACTGTCCCTCTTCTTCTATTTTCCTTAAGCCTTCTAAGCACAATACATTATCTAATCCATTCATCATTGTCAGCTTTTATTTGGTTCAATTCTGATAGGTTCTTGCAGTCTGCTGAGTTCTTATGACTATCTCCAAACATGTTGAATTCTGAATTAAGTTTCTCTTGTCCTTTGGCAAAATATTTAAAATGCTATCTACAGGAGACAACCCCTCAAACGTGCATATTATAATAATATTTTGATTAAACAATCAGATTTCACCTTCATTGGCTCCTTTGCGTAACTGTTTGTAATTACAAGATTGCTGCACAAGATCCAGTAGTGTCTTAGTGAGCTGAGCATCAGCAAGTGGATAAGCTTTTGGATTTACTTCTGCCTCAGTCTGTAAAAAGATATCAGAAATTGAGCTACAGAAAACAGTATTTCTTCCTCAGCTGCCTGCTATCTCTGTCTTAAGGAACATAATTACAGCTGCATCAGGTGAAGCAATCATCTTTCCATTACCAGAACTGTTCTATTTGCTAATTCCCTTTCATTAATGGTTCAAAAGTCACTTAAAAAACCCTCTTCCCATTTTTTACTGTAACATATTCAAAGAGCAGGTGGCCAGGACAGCTTTTGTAGTTTCAGTTGATCTGCCAATTTCAGCCTTATCTGGAACAGGATGCCCTGAAAATAGTCACTCATGCTTGTCATCTCTAGATTTAGACTACTGTAATTCACTGAACATGGGGTGCCCTTGAAGACCTCCCAGAAATTTCAGCTAGTCCAGAATGATACTGGTCAATCATGGTAGTGTCATGTTACACCTCTATTGCAGGAGCTGTACTTATTACCAAAATGTTTCCAAATGCAATACAAGGTGCCAGTCATAACCTACAAAGTACTACATAGGTTAAGGCCTTCTCCTAGCAGTTTCTCCCTATTCTACCTGAATAACTAGGGAGCACCTGCTAAGAGTCCCTATCTACCAGGAGATACAGCAGGAGGGGGCCCAGTAGCAGGCATTCTCCATCGTAGCTCCACTAAAGAACAGCTTATCTCCTGAGGCAGAGATGGCCCTTATCCTTGCGGCCTTCCGAAAGCAAGTGAAAACATGGCTCTTCCAGAAGATCTTCAAGGATTAATTGTACCAGGGGCACCATATTTAATAAATTAACGTATTACTTTTAACAAAAATTTAAATCAAGCCTTAATTGGATTATTTTACTACATTGACTTGCATTTTATATGTAAGTTCTGCATGCTGCCTAGAGTCCTTTTGGTTTCAAGCAGTAGACCAACCGCATAAATACTTGTTATGAGGACAAAGTAGGACAACCTCTTTATGTATTTCATATTCAATACCACAAGGATGGGATAAAAATAGAAGAAATCCATGGCAAAAGTACTGATGATGATACTCATGGCATGAGATTTAATACTCCAACCTCACCATCATAGTAAAAATAGACTGGGGTTGTTCCAATGAGTACAGCAATTAAAAAGTAACAGAGGAATATGCCGGATACGGCACGCAATGAGTCTTGCTTAGCACGTGACTTCACTGCCGGTCGTATGGAAACGGAGGCCAACCGAGCCTGGGTAAGCCTCCTCCGCGTGGTCTCCAGGTCTCGCGCTCTTCTCCACGCTGCTGAAGTGCTATCAATCTCGGCATTTTCACCGACAACTAGTGCCCTCGCTTCCCCGCAACGCCTGGACTTGGCCGCACTCACCATTTCTGTTAAGTAGAAGGCTCACTGGGACGCTCTGCCCTGGATCCCCTCGGCCCGAAAGCTTCACAGAGGAAAAACGTGACAACGCGCGGACTCACAAGATAGACGCGCGCCTGGAAGTGACGTTAGAAAAGGACCAGGCTCCCGCAGGAAATATCCTGCAGACCTTAAAGATTTCTCAGCTCTCGCAAGTGCGACCTCTACCTTTGGCTGACTACTAAAGAAACTCCAGAGAAGTAGCTTGAACCTGAAATAGCATCCTGTTCAGATTTCCTCACGGTGACGTTTACTAAACCATGTTTCCACGTTCACTCATAATCAGTTGTCATTTATACACAACTAAGTTGTTAATTACATTTACAGGTATATGATTTGATTGAGCGTCTAGTTTCAGCAGCAAAAGAAATATTATGCCATTTTTTTATAGGTTAAAGGTGATGCACTTAGCAGTTCTCTGCTGCAGTGGGCTGGATTTAAAAAAGAAATTCCGTGGGTGAATGGGGACTTGAACAGGGTTTCTGTAGCCTGAATTGAAGAGATTAACCACTGTACCAACTGAAACAAAACATTGCTAACAAATAATTCTCCCATTCTCAAACACATCTTTGCACACCCAGCCTGTAATCTGGTATAGATCCTACAGCTACCTGTACTGTCTAGTGCTGAACAGCTAGATTTAAATCCATTCATTAAACTTCTCTGTGTGTGACAAATTGAAAAGTTATCTCTGGGATACTCTGATAGCAATTATATTGGGTTTTTTAATCTCCCAGTTCTTTATCAACTGGCAGAAATTAAATAGGTGTAACTTACTGAGAGTAGCTTATTAAGTATCTGAAACAATTACAAAGCATATGCTCCATAATGTCCTGTCTCTAATGTCTGGTTATACAAGTAATATAATCTCTAGTTCTTTGACAACACAGTTCTGTGCATGGATTATTCAGTAAACAAGTCCTGGAGAATTAAGTGGTATTACTGCCCAAGTGTGTATTGGACCACCTGGAATTTGAAGTTCATACCTGGAAATTATCAAAATGGTGAAGGCTGGCATGAGATTTTAATTTATAGCACACTTTCCTTCACTCTACAAACAGTGCTCATTGGCTAAAACAACAAGAATATTTGATAAACTACAGTCAAGTGTATCTGTCAAATGAGAATAATTAGAATGTAGCACAAGACATTTAGAGGTGCATGTTGAACAAGTGGAGCACAGTGGATTTCTGAGTAAATATGCTTTAGAGTATGCCACACTGTGTCAACCTTTGGTATTTAGTTGTTTAATTAATACATATATTGAAAAATAAAACAACATTAAAAATACAGTATATCTCTTCAATG